AAGCTTATTTAGGCTTGAGACACATAAGCAGTACAATTTTCATTATCTAAGAATATTCTGATGTAGTCCCCATACTGAAAACATACCATGGACACTCTGCCCACATGGAACGTTATGGAATTTGCCTTTTTCTTTGTAAAATAATCAACAAAGCAACCACACTCTTTTTAGATTAAGCATTTGTCAGTGACTTCTTTCCTTTCAAATAGATTACCTAGTAATGGACTGCAATAAAATATTAGAACACACACAACAACCTTATTGCAGCAATTAGCTATTGCTAACTTTTTAAAGAAACATATTGTACAATTTGTAGAAATAAGATGCAGACACAATTGCCAATGTATGCCACAGCAGAAGATCAAACAGAGTTTTTACATATGCATTTAGGAGAAAAACGGTTGATCTCTAGTTTTTAGCTGCATTTATTACACACATTTGCTAACAATTCTCGATTGCACCTTCCTCAGATAAGAGCTTTAATGTGAACCTAGATGATGCAACAATTGCTGGATATCACCTGCAATTTATAATTTGGTACCAGAATGAGAAATCCACAAGACATGCTGTTGGAGGACAACTAAATTTAATTTAAGATGTTTCACAACATTTATATCCTCAAAACCAATAGCCAAATCTTCTTTGTGGTCTAACTCCTTGCAATTCAAAGTGTGGCTTGTGGTCTTGCCACATCTGCATCACCTGAGAGGCACAGATCAAGCTCACAGTTTCTGGATCAGTTTGGATCATGAAGCTACACCTACATGACCCACAAGTCCTGTTTTTAAATCTTCCCTTCTTCAAGTCATCCAGATACTTTTGAATCAAGGCAAAAAAAATCACACTTGATAATCCTTTTCAGAAACACTTTCATTGTCCCAAGAGAGGGAATATGATGTTCCCAAAACCGCATGTGAATAAGTGGTAAAAACCACGTATTTGGTTCAGTGTTTTAGAAAGGAATTTGAAACCGATTTCTGTAAAGTGAAGAACTGCGAGGTACCGATATCATCCACAGGACTAGGCTGGTAAAATGGAGCTTTGTGAAAATCAGTAATTCTCATGAAACACTGCTCAGCCCCTCTCCATTCTATAAGGCACCACTAATGCTGCTAGAACACTCTGTGCCAGGAAATGGGAGGGCAGCCAGCAGTGAGGTGAAGATACACACGCTGCTCGTCCATGTGTGTGTCCCCGGGGCCCAGGATTCACTGAAGGCTGCTCACACAAGGCTGAATCAAGAACGGACTTCAACCTCACCTGAAAGTCCTGGAAGCCCTTATATTCCCCAAACAGTTACAAAAAGTAGCATACTAATGACTGTTTTATGACACCTCAATTTAAATACCTACTAATCAGAAGAAAGCACTTTTCTTCTTGCTTGGCTAAGTGGTTACGTGTCCACAGGAATAAAGCAAATACAAGAAGAAAGGTCTCATATAAATCAACATTCAGATCAACAGTGGCATTTGCTAACTGTTACGTCCCTGCTTATTCAACAGGAAATACAACTGGTTTCGAAACATCTTTATATCTTAATGCGAAGAATACTTAAAAAGAAAAGGACAACAACAAAAAACTTCTATTGCAAGAATTCTTTAACTGGGATACTAAGCTTTACAATCCCTCCATTATCTGTTCTTGTGCAGAGCCAGAAAAAATACTGCCACCAGTTTAGAAGAGTAACAGTCTTTGTTTCATAATGAATTTGTGCCAAAATAGTAAATATGCTATTGCCTTTTGTTTTTGGCTTTGTTTAGTGAAAGTGGGACATAAAGTCTAGACGATGGCAGAAGTGAAGAGAACATGCACAGGAATGCCATTCTGGGTAGTTTTAGTCTCAGTGGGATACAAATTATTTTAATAGCTACTACAGCCAGGGCTCTCGGGCAAAATAATTCCGATTCCTGACACCGACTTTGGAAGCATCTAAAGGAAAAAGCACACATAGTCTTTCATGATCATTGCTTGTATTAAGCATTATAAATCAAAATGCTTATTCCTAAAAGATAAGAAAGATCTTGTCACAATGCCCAGCACAGAGTAGTCACTCTATATCCATTTGGTTCCTTTCTTTCTTATTCCCGTTTAACTCAATCAGACAAAAGTATTTTCCCCAAAAGAGATGCAACAGTGTGCAAAATTACTATTTCAAGGGCCAGGATAAATAAACTTTGCAGAGAAGTTTCAGATGTGGGCTTTTGTTTCCCAAACTGGTGGTGGTGCCAAGAAGCGACTTATGGGAACTTAGATCCCCAATAATCTCCATCAATCCCCAGAACCCTATCAAAATAAATAAACTTTCAAAAAAAAAAAAAAGCAGTCTGCTTGTTATGCAAATCTAGCTTCAAGACAAGACCCCTTCCAGCCAAACTGAAACCGAAATTTACTCTCACTTCGATGTTCAGGTGCTGCCACTGTCCAAAATCATTACATAATCAAAATGCCATTGACCTGTCCTTATGTTAGAGGAAGCAAAGTCAAGTAGAAACGACAAACCTTGGGAGCTGGGCAGGCCTGGCTTTGAATACCAGCCTGTTTACTCATTAATGGGAGATCTTAGGAAAAAACACTAACCCTATATCTGAAATTGCCCTTATGTAAAAGTCACTGAGATTATTCAGTAAACCCAGGGATGCAAACCTCACTAGGCTGATGGAAGAACTAAGCAAGATGATATCCATACAGTACCTGGTAGATCTCAGCACCCAGTGAGTACCCAGCAAATAGCTCCCTGACCCATCCTTCCTCCCTCTTTTTACTGATTAAAAACCACCGACATTATGTGGTCTCCCTCTGTCAAGGTAGAGAAGAAAGCAATTGGCTGAATAACAAAATCACAGCTATCATAATGACTGGGACTGTATTTTAAGGAGTGTCCATACATCCCTGGGTCCCTGAGCAATAGAATTTTCTATTTTACAAGTGATCAGGAAAATTCAGCATCCTGCATCTAGATCACACAGTTCTAGGAATCTGTGTTCTCCCCTTTTAATCTCAGCAGGGTACTAGTTCTGGGCAGAGAGTAAACACCTCTGCTTCTGTTCCGATCTCCTTTCTTTATGCTGTACCCTAGCTAAAGAGCTGCTCAGGGAAAAATTACGTTGCCTACTCCGAGTTGCTATAACAACATTGTTGCCAAAATAGCAGGCACTCTGCAGGAGTCAGAATAGCCTCTTATAGATATTATGTGACTTCTGCTCCTGGCACATCCCCTGCTGCCTGTTCAGGGGCCTGGCTGGGGCAGCTGGGGACCGCCAGAGTCACTAACTAGCTAAGGAGATGTGGAGGGGTTTTGAAAATTGCTGAGCTTCTCACATACACAGAATCCCAATGGCCTATGCCTCAGATCTTCTGAAGATTCCTCTCACTGTGATGGAACAAAATGATGCCTTGATACTCTTTGTGAACTATATAGTATCTGTTTCATGCAGTTGAGCTCTTTTTCCAAATAATGACTATTTCAGGGCAGTACAAAGAATGCTGCCTGCTTCTAAAAAATTATAAGCCTGTCGCCTGGGAAAAAGTAGAAACTACAACTTCAGATTGAAAGAGAATATACAAATGGAGAACTGCCAAGCCATAGATGACAACAGAACTGCAACACCAACCTCTACAGTAACCAGTCCAGGAAGCCAAAACACAATATCAGTACTAATCAGCCCGGAATGGAAGCACTTGGTTAATAACTGACCGTTTCCCTATTTTTTGTTCCTGCATTCAACTTAGGACCAATCATAGAAAGCCAAACATGCCCCCTAAACCAATCATGTGAGATGCTCTGCTTCTAATTAGCCCACCTCCAGCTTCTCCATGCTAACAACCTCCCCTCAGAGCTTACCTGAGCCTTCTCTTTTTGTAACAGAAAACCTTCCCCCCTCCCCTGCCTGCATTTGAGGCTCTGCCAAAGGCAAGTGATGGTGGCTGACTCCCTTGCCAAAGCAAACTGAATAAATTGCCTGTTTATTATCATTCAGGTGGTTTTCACTTATTTCCATAAGCTTTACCTGTTATTTTCTATTATACCTAGTGTACTAACAAGATCATGTTCTATGATTTGTAATGCTAAGGACAATGGAAACTTAAGCAATGTAAAACCACCCTTGAGGCCTCTGGGAGACCCTAAAATCTGCCTGAACTGTGCCCTCAGCAAACTTCCATACTCACCAAACCAATCTCCAACCATCCTTCTCCTTCTACTTCATGGCTCCAACCATAACAAACAATTACTAACAGTGAAAGAGTGACCAACCATCCCACTTTGCCCAGAACTGCCCCACTTTTATCACTGAAAATCCCACACCCCAGGAAACCCCTCAGTCTCGGGCAAACTGAGACAGTTGGTCACCCCACGAGACTCCACAGCATGCCATGCCATTCTAAGACGCAGCCATGGCAGATGCAATTCGCTCTGCCAGGAATCTTCTCTCTTACCACCGACAGGTTATCAAGGGGGTGAACTCCTCTCAATCTGCCAAGTCACTGCCTAAATGGCCGCTCCTCAGCCAAGCCTCTCTGACAAACCCCCCCCAAACCCAAGCAGGATTGATCACTCCCTCCTCCACGCCACGCTACAGCCTGTATAGTTTTTTGTACATATCACACAGCATAGAGATGATTTGTTATGGCGTTTAGACCCCCTTGCACAATGAATTCCTTGCAGGCAGATGCTGTATTGTATTCGTCTTTGTGTCCCCTCACTGTCATCACCACACCAAGCCCATGTTTGTCTGTTTCCTGAGTACATGAATTTGTGATTCAATGGCTTAGCTATTATTTATTTAATAGAATTATAATTATTTTTTATTGAATTACTGAATCATTAACAAATTAATTATGTGTTAATGAATGATTAATATAATGAATTAAATTGATCCTTACAAAAAAGTCCAAAAGCTCTGGCTTGAGCTGGAGGGATAGCTTATATATATGTGGAAGTTGGGTGCCTTACAAGAAATATATTCATTACTCCATTTCTATTACCCAGATTATTTAGCTACCTCAATCTGGGTGGCGTTGTCCTGCCCATCGTCCAGTAGCAGGTCCGTGAAGCCTCTGGGCTCTGGGGAGTCTTGGTCCAGGCTTGCTCGGTTCGAGTCTACTGCCTTGAGAGAATCCAAGTTCCTTTTCCACCGATGGCTGAATGCGTGTGAGTCCACATCCACCTCCTCTTCTGTTTGCCGGAAGGCCTGCGCAACTTGATACTGCCAATCTGTTTGAAAAACAAATAAAATAATGAGTTCCACTTGTTATGAATCACACACATGTCCCCTACTAGAGCAAAAAATGAATTCTGCGAGTCATGAAAATAGGAAACTCACTCATAACAGTGAAATCTGTTTAATTGTAATATTTTGAGTTGGTATGAACATCTCTGCGTAGAATGCAATTTTAGGACACACCGTAAGTCATGACAATGGTTAATGTGCAGATCCAGCAGAGTCCCTAAAACAGATGTGCAGCCCTGAAGCAATGCATTTTTATTCTCTTCCCTCCCCGCCCACCATGCACACACTTCATAAACATTCCCTCGTCGTCTGAGGAAACAAGCTACAATCCAAACAAAGGAATGAAACCAAGTGATTTCCAGCACATTTGAAAATAGACGTCAGACATTATTAACTTGTGAGGTTATATTCGTTTCATTTGAGTTATGCTGGGCAGCAAAGAGACAACGATGTATTTGAACGGGTTAAATACCATACGGAATGATCTTCACGTAAATATGCTAACCTACCTTGTAGCTCACAAGTCAGACTTGCTCCATTGCCTAACTCATTTAATAAACAACACCCTCAGGAGGCATCACACACGCTCGTGTTCATTTGTGCTGTTCTCACCTTGGAATCTTGTCAGCGTGGTAAAGGATGACAGTGATGGGCACTTAGAGAAATGGATAGGAAGGAAGGAGATCAAATCACAAAGGTATTTTAAAGCCATCTGCAGGGACTGGCCTTGCTGACCCAGCTCATCCTGCTACTACGGGAGGGAAAATTAGATTCCATCATTACTCCTAGACTTTCATTTCAGTAGGGCAGCAGGGGAAGTACCACAAGCATGGGAAATTCAGTTTCTGACCAAGAAGAACAGCCCTCTTCTATGCAACTATTACCCAAAGATAAGAATTGACAGCCTTTCTAACTGGCAGGATATGGGTTCATAAAGGGCTGAGAGAACAGTGATTTAATTACAGCTGTGATGTTCCCCTCAATACCAGAAGATTCCAAGAAACCAAAATGTCTTTAATGTAGCTTATAATATCAGTGAAGTAGCTACTTAGCACTCTAATAACTTAGTTAAGGCTACCGCTCCTAGTCACATGCAAATGGTCTAAAATGTCTCCCCTTCAACTCAGAAAGGTGCTAAAAATTCTTCTAGATGGAGAGGATAGTCTTCAGTTTCACCAGGAACTTAAAAAATCTCCCACTTCTAATGCCTTAGTGGATACAGCTCAGAGAGAAACACACCATAGTGTTAGCAATCTAAACCTTTCCATGAGTTCGGAGAACATTAGAGCTTAAAAGAACCACGGAGACAGAAATGGCCAAGAACTCCACAGAGAGGAACCCAAGAGCCAGAGAAATGTAGCACTGTGCCAATTCATAGAATTGTTGTAAGGCTGAAAAAAACTCATACACATACATACAAAATGGGTTAATCATTGTCCCCAGCCACGCTCCACATATTACATGTTCAATAAGTTTGCCTAATGAGTATTGTTGTCATCACTGCATAAAATATCTCTTTTTTTTAACACTGTGTTCCTACTGGCCATTGAACAGTGCTCAATAAGTGTTTGTTGACTGACTGAATCAATGGATGAATGAATCAATTGTTGACAGTCTTTTTGGAGCAAGAATGATAAGACTAGGCAGCATTAAGTAACGGAAGACATACTGTACAAGGATTCAGGAGACCTGGGCTAAAATTCTTTCTGACAGGTTTGCTGGACGTGGGATATACATAATTTACAAAAGTCTCTGTGCTTTAGTTACCCTATATTTTAAATGGGAATGAAAATAGCTTACCTGCAAAAGCAGACAGCTTTTCCTGAGGATGTGCCAGACTCTAAGACCTATGATTCTAGGCAAAGCTACACAAAGCAATTTTATTTGCTTTATTTATATATCCCGCCTCATTACCAAAAATATATGAGGCAGCTTACCACAAAAATAAGCAATAAAGTTTTATAACAACCAGATAAGCCCTCCTAGCACAAAACTTAGGTCAACTTGAGAGAGGTGCATTTGCCTTGTACTAGGGGACGTGGCTATCTGACCACAAATAATCATGTAGGAACAATTGAAAATCTACTCAGGATCCTTCTTAGAATGTCAATCTAGATAAGAAATGTAGCAAATATAATGCAGTTAATAGATTAAACAGTCCTAAATATAAAAACTTTTTTAAAAAGTCACACAAAGGGAACGGCTCCAACCAGAGATTTTTCAGTCCTCTATAATGTAAATCAGAAAAAATAGATCTAAAACTTCAAAGAATTAGTCTTTATTGAAATCTTCTAAACAGAATTTCAAAGCAACTCTTGGTTTCTTTAAAATGGATGTTATTGATTGATATTAATTGCCTGATATTAATTTTATCATTTTCTTAGATATTTATAACACAAGACAAAATACGGTACTTTCTATGATCCCCTAGGCCAGTAAGGTCACACTAGCCCCTGTGGTCCTGGCACAGGCAGGGAGCAGACAAAATAACCAACATTCAGGAACTATCTGCATAGGAAGTCTGTTTCTCAACTTCCTGGAGGACTTTTTCTCATCTTCTCTCTGCCTTCTTACTCAAGAGAACAAATGAAAAGGAGCTTCCAAATGTAAGGACAATAAAGTCCTTACTCCCCACTGTTAAGGTAATTAAATGAGGAGGCCATTAGACTGAGATCGTGGCTCTAATACCTTAGCAGCCTGCTAAGCAAACCAAAACCTTAGCCTGGAAGTGCCTCAAGGTTAGGAAATCAAAACCTGAGGACAACCAATCACAAAGAGCCAACAAGCCTTTTCCAAATAAGGCAAACGCATAAGTTATAGCCAATCAAATAGTTTCCTTGCTTTGCTTCCACCTTTCTCCACAAAAGTCTCTCCCCTGACTCCTGTCTGGTGGAGCACAAGCACTTCCGGTTTGGTGCCTCCTGATTCTAATAGATTTTTGCTCAGATAAACTCTTAAAATTTTTAATATGCCTCCCTTTATCTTTTAACACCACTTTAGTTGAAATTTTGGTAGTTTGCTTAACGTGTCAAACTTTCATTTTTGTAGTGAACATTCAAACTCATCCTTGAACAGGATTATTGGAGAAAGTAAATTTAACATACAGGTAGGCCTCCTGCACAAAACAAGCCAAAATGCATACTATAGCCCTTTCAAGGGTAAGTCCCCAGATAGCAGTGGGGTTTTGGTGGTTTTTGTTTTTTTAAAAAAATTTTTAGCAGTGTTTCGCTTTACTGTCACATTAACGGCTATTACAGCTGTTGATTGGTTTGCCTCCATCATGGACATGCTTGTCCTTCCTAGAATTTGCTCCCTTAAACTTTGTAAACCAATCACTCCATCATTTGCTAGCTCTAATTGTGTTTACATAGAGTAAACAGGATCTAAGGAAGAACCCGCGGGTCCTTCTACTGAGGACTTGAGTGAGCTTTAGGCCCTCGCCACCGTGAATTTCCTTTTGGTTGCCTTTTAAACCTAATTCTTTTTCTCTGGTTATGTTATGAATAAATAAGACTACCCAACCATGCAAAGAGGAAACATTCTTCTATGCTCATAATTCAGATGTACATGGTTCATCAAGACTGAAGTATGAAATTGGCTTAGATTTTGATCCCATTTCAGAATGATTTTTAGAGAAGATAAAACAAGTCAAAAAACAAACAAACAAACAAAAAACGGATATTTTACAGAAATAAAGCTTGCGAGAAACTGGCAAAACCACAGCCTGGTTATCTACATTGTAAATCATTCCTATGCATTTTATGAGCTTTCTAATGCGTAAAAATATTTTAAATTATTCTTTAAATCACCACCAAAATGAATCATTCAGAGGCAAGATGAAGGGATATATGTGATATAATTTTCCCTTTTGAGCTGTAGTGAAAACGAAAGCAACAGGAGGGAGCTTTGTTGAGTCTGGTTGAACAGATTGTTTGCTTTCTGTCCGCTGTATGTTAATTAAACCACTGATGGAAAACCTTCAAAGATCATTTTCTGCAACATATTTTGCTATAGTTGTTAATCACATAGCTCATGGAAACATTAAATATATCTAATGACTCCCATTTGGATATAAGGAGAGAAAGCGTAATGACATATTTCTGTATATATAATATATACATTGATCTTACATTCTTGAGATATTTTGTTCAATTAAAATAGCACATAAATTATGATTGAAGAAGGTACTTCATTACATTTCAAATAAAACATCATTATGAAATTCAATAATGTCTAGTTAATCTCAGAGTAAAACAAGAAACTCATGCATATCCTCATATTACTCTTTGCAAACCTTGCAAGACTCTTTTGTGCCATCATATACCATAAAATAAAATAATTTAAGATAAAAACAAAAGGGAAGAGAGAGAGCTGTGCTGGGCTGCACATGTTTATATTTGTGTCTTATCCTAATGATTTTCTTTCAATACCTGGCATTTAACTAATAGTTATATGTTGAAAACATCTTTAGGGCCGGCCCTGAGGCTTAGTGGTTAAGGGCGCGCGCTCCGCTACTGGCGGCCTGGGTTCAGATCCTAGGCGCTCACCGACGCACCGCTTGTCCAGCTATGCTGAGGCCACGTCCCACATACAGCAACTAGAAGGGTGTGCAACTATGACATACAACTATCTACTGGGGCTTTGGGGAAAAAAAAAAAGGAGGAGGATTGGCAATAGATGTTAGCTCAGAGCTGGTCTTCCTCAGCAAAAAAAAAGAGGAGGCTTAGCATGAATGTTAGCTCAGGGCTGATCTTCCTCACAAAAAAAAAAAAGAAAACATCTTTAACTCCATTTCTTGAGTCTTGCAAACAAATCATACACACAATATATGTTGAACCACTAAGAGGTAACTAAATAAATTGATGTGCATCTTGTGTAATTAGGACCCATCACAACAAGCTCTTTGATCTGCACTTGACAAGCGACCCAAATCACCCCTGTGAATCCTCTGCAGAAACATTAAGATTGTTCACCACAAACAGAT